TGTTTTGTCGAAACATTTGAATAATGTAAAATCTAGCGGAACCATTTCCTAATGGCCTATTTACCATGTGTTCACTCCTCGTTCCTTCCTAGTTTAGTTAAATTTTTTCTTCCCTTTTAGGTTAAGCATTTAATTATTATATATTATGTTACTTATTCTCAAACACCATTACTCGGTCATTCAACAGAAATATTTAAGATTCTCTATCAAATTATTTGTCCCTCACTTTTTGCTCCCGGTGTATTATAATTTCTGGCCAGCCGCCAGATGTTCTCACCGAGAAGCTCGCGCTGGCTACAGCAACTCCAAGTCGTATCGCAATCTCGAAAAATCCGAGAAACGTGATCCGGAAAAGTGCATTTCTTTTCGATAATTCCATACCCAGAATACAGTACAATTTGCATTACGTGTGAAAGAGCGGTGGAAACCACCGAAGCCAGAGAAGTCCAGGATTCCAGGTGAGTTGACTTTACTTTTTTCGGCTGGCGGAACCCTAACTCTCTCAAACATCAACAACATGATAAAAAGAACTATCACCAAGAATCGTTGGTAATCGGTAACAACTTACTGAATCTAGACATCAGGAACATTGTTGACGCTGTAAGAAAGAAACAAGTAGAAGAAAACAGGGGGAAGTTGATTCCCATAGTCGAAACCATTAAACTTTGCGGGCGACAGGAGCTGGCACTCAGAGGAACTGACGATTCAGGACCAATTTTTGAAAAGAGCGACGAGCCGGTGGTCAACGATGGAAACTTCAGAGCAATTTTAAGAATGAGAATCAAATGTGGAGATGAAAAATTAATCAGGCATGTTGAGAATGTTGCTCTGAATGCTTCATATATTAGTCCAAATATACAAAACCAATTGATCATTATATGCGGACAAATAGGACAAATCGTGTAGAATATCAATGATGCCTTTTTTTTCGATATTAGCTGATGAAACATCAGACATATCCAGACAACAACAAATGTCCCTCTGCGTACGATATACTAAAAATATGGGCAACGTTTACGTAGTCAAAGAAGATTTTTTATGTTTTGTACACGTAGAAACCACAACTGGCGAGTATCTGGCCAACACGATTGTTGCGACCCTTCAGAATCTTGGCATTGACTGCAATAACATGATTGGACAAGGCTATGACGGTGCCAGCTGTGATGAAAGGATCATTCAAAGGAGTTCAATCAGTTATCAGAAAAACATACCCAGAAGCTCTCTATGTTCATTGTTGTTCGCATTCTTTAAACTTAGCTTTATACCATTCATGTAATCTCCCAGCCGTCCGAAACTGCAGGAACTGCAAAGTCTATTGCAACATTTTTGAAAGCATCACCCAGAAGAACGACGAAATTGCAAGAATACATAAAAACGCGTTTTCCTGAAACAAGGTGGAAAACATTGACAGCTATGTGTGAAACAAGATGGGTGGAGATTCATGATGGCCTTTTTCGATTCAAAGAAATTTTTTCGGCTATTGTGGAGACTTCAGAAGATCTAAGTATTGATGGAGATATGGACACTTCTTCCAAAGCTTCATCATTTTTAAAATCTATGATTGCAAGTGATTAATCCTGTCTGGACCAACGTGTCAGATCGACTGACTTTGTTCGCGGAAAAATGTCACTTGGCTGTTCGCCACAGTGTTGCCAGACTCAGTCAGTAATACCACATTCCTCCCCCACGAATGAAAAGCTTATTTCCTGAAACGAACAGGGGGCCTTCTGTTTCTTGAAGGATTTCTTCGGGGCACCTGACTTGGGGGCTCTTCTACATCGACTGCCTCTTCAACATCCTCAGGTTGAATTTCACGTGGTATGTTGGGACGATATTTTTGTTTGAGCCGGTCGCTAGGTGATGGTTCGTTTGGGGTATTTTTGTTTGGTTCAGCATCAGGGTGACTTTCTAATTCGTCAGCAGCACATTGTATATCCGATGGGTTTACATCTACATTTAGTGATTCTTCTCCGCATTTGGTCACAATATTTGCGGCGTAGAATACCGTCAATATTTACGAGATATGATAATGGACCAGACTGCCTAACAACTTTTCCCGGCTCGGAACCATTTCCTAATGGCCTATTTACCCATACATCGTCTCCCTCCGTAAAATTTTGAAGTGGAGCAGCTGAATAGTCATGGTTTCGTTTTTGAATGATTTGTTCTAATTCCATATTTTTCGTTGCATCCGGTTTAAGGAGGTCAAATCGTGATCTTAAATGCCGACCGAACATTAGTTGACTTGGTGTTCTGTTTGTCGATCTTTTTACGGTATTTCTGTAGGAAAATAGAAAACTTGCAAGTCTTTGCGACTGATTTAGTTTTTGGTTACTGACTCGCATTCTTTTTTTGAAGTCGCGAACAGTGCGCTCTGCCAGCCCATTCGATTTCGGATGATAAGGGGTCACTTTAATATGTATTATTCCATTGTTCTTGCAGAACTGTTCAAATTCACTTGAGGTGAGTTGTGGCCCATTATCCGTCACTAAGAACTTGGGTAAACCCAGTCTAGCAAATATCGAACGGAGAATGTCTATAGTAGAGTTAGATGTAATGTTGTTCATCGGTATAACTTCTAACCAATGCGTATAGGAGTCAATCAGTACCATCCACATTTTACCTTCAAAAGGTCCCGCAAAGTCCAGATGAAGACGAGACCAAGGGTCTGGAGATAAACCCCATGGATGTAGTGGTGCATTTCTGTCGTTTTTTCGGGACTGTTGACATGAAATACATGTTTCTACTTCATGAATGATATCAATGTTGATATTTGGCCAATAAACGTGCAGTTTTGCCAGTTACTGCATGGCAGTAATGCCTGGATGACCGTCGTGTAACATAACTAATACCTCTGACTGCAAAATAGAAGGTATGCAGATGCGTCCTTTCCACAAAAGCATATTTTCTTCAAATGACAGTTCATCTCGTTTTTCATAGTATGGGATAACGTCGGTAGAGAGGTTTTTCTTGTCGGGCCAATATGATTGTACATATTTTATAACCTGTGAAATAGTCTTGTCTTTTTCAGTTTGGGTTTTTAATTCTTGTTTGCACATAGGAAGCTTCCGTACTCTCAGATGCAATAGGCGCATATAATTTGGTACTGCTGAATTTTTCGCTGTTTCTTTCAAGGGCAGCCTGGAAAGTGAATCTGCAGGACAATTTTCGTTTCCTGGATGATACGAAACTTTGAAATTATAACTATTTAGCGTCATGGCCCATCTTAAGAGTCGGTTGCTTGCTATTTTTGGAGTCTGGCGATCCTCTCCAAAAATACTCTCCAAAGGCTTATGCTCCGTAATGAGGGTGAATTTTCGACCTTATAAGTATTGATGGAACTTGGAAACTGCATATACTAATCCCAGGGCCTCTTTGTCAATAGTGGAGTAACGTTTTTCGACATCACTAAAGGATCTTGATGCGAAGGCAATTGGTTTCAGAGTTCCATCTCGAAATTTGTGTGATAGCACAGCGCCTGTACCTGAATTGCTTGCATCACTGTTGACAACCAGGGGTTTTTCAGGGTCATAATGCACTAGGGTATCATTTGATGTCAAGCTTTGCTTTGAATTTTCGAATATTTCAGTCTCTCTATTCGACCATTCCCACTTTACTCTTTTTAAGAAGACGATGTAAAGGTACGCACTTCACATGAAGATTTTCAATGAATCTGCCGTATAAAGTGATAGTGCCTAAAAACGACCGAAGTTGGGAAGTATTTTGCGGTATTGGCAACTGCTTGATAGCATCTATACGCTCTTCTGTCGGATGCAATCCATTCTCATCAATTTTGTGACCTAAGTAGGTCACACTAGATCTAAACCAATCACATTTTGATTTTTGGGTTTTTATTCCTGCAGCTTGTAAGCGGCGCAGAACTTCCCTTAATCGCTGGGCATGTAATGTTAGGTTTGGAGCTGTCACCAGTATGTCATCCAGATAGCATACTACGCCCTTTATTCCTGCTAGTATCTGACCCATGGTTCGTTGAAAAAGTGATGGTGCAAAACTGATCCCGAATGGTAATCGCCGGTATGTGAAATAGCCCTTATGTGTAGCGATTACCAAATATTTACGTTTTCTTGGTATGACATCATTTTGTATGTATATTTTTTTTCCATAAAATTGGTTTAACACCTGGATAAGTGCTGTATAAGTCTTTGTCGTTGGCTTATCTGGCTTGTAATGGTCCACTAAAATTTTGAAAACATGCGGGCCTACTTTGGATAATAGCAAGTTACGTCTCACTTCGGCATTTTCATCAGTCATCAATCCGTGTATCTGTACCTTTGTAAATAGTAATCCCACTGTTCTGTATCGGGCTCAAAATTGTTGAATCGAAAGTTCTTGTAAGCTCCGTTCACGTTCTCAGCCATAGCTACTGTTTCTTGCGCTGGCCTCTTGAGTAAACTCGTCGCCAAAATGTAGTATGATGGGTGGGTGTAACAAACACAGAATTATACTGTGAGTAAAACTGTATTCATAAACTGTTTACAACTAATTAACGAGTGATCTAATCCTGTCTAGACCAACGTGTCAGATCGACTGACTTTGTTCGCGAAAGAATGTCACTTGGCTGTTCGCCACACTGTTGCCAGACTCAGTCAGTGATACCACATGACCGTTCAAGGATTTATGTTTGGAAGGACCTGACAATATCGGAATTGCTAATATTTATTGGATTAACCTTCCATACTTGAACAATACAATTGCCTAACATACAAGACTACTGGAAGAAAAATAGATTATTCTCGACTTGTTTTTCTACGTACGTGAGTAGGGACCGCTTTTTGCTTATAATGAGATGTCTTCACTTTACCAAAAATGAAAATGAACCAGTCCCAGTAGATCGTTTATATAAAATAAGACCACTGCTAGATCATTTTAACAATGAAATGAAGAGAGTATATTACCCAGGCAAATATTTATCTCTTGACGAGTCTATGATTCTGTGGAAAGGGAAACTGCTATTCAAGCAATATCTCCCTAAGAAACGGCATAAATATGGAGTAGTCTTATATGCTAACAGAAGCCGATTCTACAATTTTAGACGTCCATATATATGCTGGTGCAGGCGATATAACAGGTGGTAAGTCTCACACAGAAAGAGTAGTACTCCACCTAATGCGTAATTTTTTCGACCATGGACATTCGGTCCATATGGACAACAATTACAATAGTTACAACTTGGCAAAATTACTACTGGATAGAAATACTTTTTGTACAGGCACAATTAGAAAAGATGGAAATGACTGTCTGAAAAACGTCGTAGACGGAAAGTTGAAAAAAGGCCAGACCAAAAGTATGTACCGACACAATGTAATGATTGGCAAATGGCGAGATAAGAGAGATATAATATACATCTCTACTGAATATAAAAATGAGATGGTAACCGTAAGAAATAGAAGAGGGGATGAGAAAGTTAAGCCACTACCAGTCGTTCAATATAATAAATATATGGGCGGAGTAGATCTTCAAGACCAAATGTCTTCTTATTATCCGCCGACACGCAAAACTTTACGTTGGTATAAAAAATTGGCATACATATGTTTCAGCTATATTTGAAGAATGCTCATAAATTGTATAATAAGCACCATGGAAAGAATGGGAAAATATCATTTTATAAGTTTCGATTGACACTACTTGAAAAGTTGTTGCCAGAAAGATGTTAAGAAGCAGAAACTTTTTCAGGTGTAAACCACATACCTTCAAAAATTGAGTTACGTAATGAACATGGAAAAACATGGAACATGGAAAAAAATGTCGGATTTGTAATAAAAAGAAGATTCGTAAAGATACTATATATCATTGTGTAGAATGTCCCGATAAACCTGGCCTCTGCTTAGGCATTTGTTTCAAAGAATATCAATATAGAGAGACATGATTTCACCAAAAAAGTTAAT